CCCCGTGCCCGGGATGCGCACGGCGGCGGGGCCGGCTCGCCGGGCCCACAGCCTCCAGGGCAAACGCGGTATGAGGTTTGATTTGTGCCAAGTCCCCCCAATTTGTGAAATCACCGTTTGCTCGTTCATCTCGTTAACTCTGGAGCAACTGACACTTGAAGTAGCAGCATCAATATTCTAAACTGCTCTACGGAAAGATACCTCACTCTCGTCTTTGAAGTTCCATCCCAGTTTGTTAAAAAAAACCCCGAACTTGGAGAACAATACTACTTTTCAGACACACGAAAATAATTCAGTTAAGCGCCAGAGTACTAAGGAGCAGCAGCTGCAGATCTCTATAACCAAGCTGAATTGCCACATTCCCCAGGAATGGAGGAGCGGACTGCAGATGTGACCTGCATTGTGCACCTTTCACAGCACTTTTTTAGCTACAGGTTAAGTCCCAAAGACTTTCAGGTCTTCGTAATCACAGAGCTTCACGCTTTATTACTGTTTAACTAAGATAATTATATGTAAAGACTCAGTTAATCCATACTAACCTACCCCAAGGCTGAACACGAGCATGCTATGATTAGGTGATCTGTACTACCCCAAAACAACCCACTCCTTTCAAGAGTGGATTTTATGAGGGTTTTGGCAACCGTGTTTAACACTCAAAAGTACATTCATGCTCCAATACAAGCTATTAAAAAAAAAAAAACCACAAACCAACCAACCAAAACCACACACCCCCCACTCAAAAACCCCATACAACGTGGGCAGGAACCTCATCCCCACCCCTCAGCTCCGCAAGAGCTGAAAGGCTTTGCTCTTCAGCAAATTGGCTGCACAAAAGGCATCCTGGAGAACCATGACCAACTGTAACAGCAGTCACCATCTCGGTTTGGTTTTACACACGGTAGAACCCGCCTTCTACATCTTTTGTTGTCACGCTGACCAGGCAGAAGCAAACACTTGGGATTTTTTCCTGCTTAGGCAAAGCAGTGCCAGAACATTCCCTCTTTAAGCGCTTCAAATAGAGAGACTTCTGCCAACAGTCTGTTTCCTTCCGGCTGCGCAGCAGTACCAACTCAGCCCTTCTAAAACCCACTCAGTTTGGCTGCTGCCAGCCAAGTCACCGGGGCTCTCGCTGCCTTCTACTTACTATTCTCACTAATAATTGTCTTTTTCTCCCTGAACTATGGCTCGATGTTTTCCACAGGCTTTGAACATCAAACCCAGGCTGAAAAGTTTAGTTCTTCATAAATCTTTATTTCATCAAAAGTTAAAGAACTCTAGATTTCTGTGGCAGCCCAATGCAAAACAGCAACAATCTGATGGGGTTCACCTGATGTGACACAGCAGTTCTGACCATCAGTTTTCTTGGACACACATATTTTAGCTATCACCTTTCCTGAAACAACCCGAAGGCTACCAGGTAATATGCCTGCGTTCAGTTTCAAACACTCCCAGGGCAGACTCGTTCGGATCTTCTAGTTTATCAACTGAGGAGTTCTTACTGCTCTCCTGTAAGCCTCACCTACACACTACAGTCTGCTGAAAGCCTCAGGCGTACGTTGTTCCTGGAGACCACAACCTTCAGGGGCATTACTGTGTGACTGCATCACGTTTAACAGCCTTGCTTCCAAAACAACTGAAAATGTTAACGCGATACCTAACTGATTAACTGTAACACGGATCTACAGGTAGTAGTGCCAGTTCAGTTTTACTCTTGGCATAGCTGTAGGTTATCAGTCTGGTAGAGACCTACACACCATCAGAGGCAATTTTTTCACTGCTATACACAGCCTATGAAGCACACTTTGGGACTTGAAAGCAAGGAAAGCCTTTAGCTAGTGTGCGAGGATGCAAACATGAAGTGACTACAGCACACTATCCCTGAGCGTAACTGCACTGATTCTGTATGATCTGCTAGAGCTCCTGAAGACGGCCAGGCACTGAGGAGGTACACCAGCTGAAGCTGCCCTTAACGCCAGATGTTACAGCCCTGCCTTCTCCAATTATGCCTTGCGGAGAAGCACTGATCAGTCAAGAACTCCTGCCCTTGCTTTTCCTGCACATCAGGCAAACTTCATTCACTTCTTGAGCGGACACGCTCAAGACACACTCCACATCAGCTCCCTTTTCATCTGTGTAACTTTCCATTTACTAACCCTTAGTCGATCAACATAGTAGAACAACGCACAGGAATGGGAAGTGCCTGCAATACCAGAGGTTTTAAATGATAGCTCTTCGTGTTATGACATCTGTGAAGGCTGAAGTACTGCTGACACACCATTAAACAACTCCAGATTTGGAACTCGCTGTAACTTCAACAACTTTTGTACCTTCTCCAACGGACTCCTGAAGAAATGCTTTAACTGCATCAGCACAGAGGAAACAAGCCCGCTCCGAGACGACACGATCCACTCACACAAATGTACACCGATAACAACAGTGTGGAAGGACTGCATACTTCACATGTTTAGTTTGATGCTACCGGATGGAAACTTAACGTAAGACAATACAAAGGAAAAGGCCAAACTAAAACTTTTACACCTCCACATACCCCTTTTTAATGTTATTTTGCACTGTGTACATGAAAACCAAAAATAAACAAAAGGAACTTTAGCCAAACTCCCCTTCCTCCTCCAGCTTTATTGATAGTTTAAAATTACATTTTCTATGTTCTAGGACTTCAATTGCTTTTACCATCTTACTTTAAAAACTGATTACAAGCAAATGAAACTCAGTTGTCTAAGTGATATAGTATACAAAAATAACATCTTGATTTCTGTGAAAATGCATTTATTTGCAACTCCTGAATAGCTCCAAATTGTATATGCTATGAGCACTGATGTCTGGGTTTCAGATTGACTTTGAAGTATTTATTCAAAAGCTTCCCATTACGTTCTGTATCTCCAACGTGAACATTCATTGACTGAATTACTGTTACTTTTAAGTTTATTCCTGATTTCTCTCTCTCTCTCTCATGGCCATTAACAGGCATGTGCATCTTGTTTGTTTACTCCCACTCAGCTATATGCTCTAGGTAGGGCCTGATACAGATATTACTTGGTGTTAACAGCTACTGAGGTCAGACAATCCAAGGCCATTGTAATAAAATTAAAGTTATGAGGAAGTTTAGACACTTCCAGAATTTCTTTCCTCCTGCATAGGATCACTTCCATGTAACCCAGAGAGGGTTCGCTGGTCTGACTCAACTCTTCCCACTCATCAATCCCTATTCACCAGTGGCACGGAAAGGGGGTTCTTTAACAAAGCATTATACATAACACCTCTACCAAACTAAACATAAACATTTTTGTAGTTAAATGCAGAAAGTTGATTTTTCCACCCCTTTCCTCCTTTTACACGGCAAGTAAAGCTCACTGGCCTGGGAGTAGCCTCTATCTGCCAACCTTTGGCCAGTGAAGAGGATTCAGAGAAAAATAATACAACCATCAATCAGAAAAAGGAGGGGCGACAAAGGAAAATAATTAGGCTGTAGCTTCAATTGTGCATTCCCGTGCAAGGTGCCCTGACTCGCCGCAGCGATAGCAGTTGACTTCACTGGTCTTGCTGCAGTTGATGGCTACATGGCCAGTTTCACCACACCTGGAAAAAGCAAATGATTTTGTCAAAACAATCCAGAACAGTTACTCAGAAAAGCCAAGTACATTATCTACTTAAATTTCATGTTAACACTAGTTCTGCATTCAAGATTTCTGCTTCAGTGTTCCAGAATTCTTTGACATGAGGCAACTCTGTGTCTTCACCACAGCCAGGAACTGTTCCCCAACGTACCAACTCACATTGATCACTGTATATGCCAAAACCACCCTACATCCAATACAGAAGCGTGGGGTTTTTTACTGCGCATTGGGTTTTGCCTACTCTGATGCTTCTGTCTGTAGTTTAGCCTTTTTTTGAGTGTAATTAGTTTCAACTCAAGTGCACCATGTTCTCTCACCGTCCCCCGCAGAAGGGAACCTTGGTGGGGGTGAAGAATACTGCACTCAGCAACATGCTGTTTCTGGTACAGGCCTGCGTTCGAAACCAGTCAGCGTTCTGAAGCTGGTGTTTCAAACTGATGTAACACCCACCTGTATATTCCTGCTTGGACTGGTTGTGCCAGTCAACTGATTTGTACAGCTGGAGTTTGTTAGTTCCAGTTGAAGACAGAGGGTACCAATTTAAGGGCTCCAATTTAAGTTTGTGCTACAGACAAGTACTTCCTGCTACCTTCTGCAAAAAGATACAGCCCGTTCTCCTGTACAGTTCAAGTAACTTCAACATCTGCATTGTTCTGGACACCCAGAGATGCTCATCATTGAATCTATTACTTCACTTTGCTAACAGGTGTTTAAGACTTAGTTTTGAACAACAGTAGACAACTGCTTAGAGAAACAAGCTACCTGGTCACAGTTTAAGCTTCATTTCCTAACCAAAATTTGATACAGAATGCCTCTGTCACTTTAGATAGATTTTGCAGTTGTCTCTTACCTATAGCATTTCACTTTGGTGCAGTCTTTTTGAATGTGCCCAAACTCTCCACAAGAATAGCACTTCTGCTCATCTGCGTGGTCACAGTCACGAGCCAGATGGCCAGGTTTGCCACAGTTGTAGCAGCACTGCTCTCTCTCCCTCTTCGGCTCCTTGCAGTCCTTCGCAATATGGCCACCTCTACCGCAGTTATAGCAGGCTTCCACAATAAGAAAAACATACCAAACAAGACTATAAAACCTTGGTAGAGTGAGATGTAGCATGCTTCTAGGGAAGGACATGTACAGCTTGTTTCCAGTGAGTTAGGATCAGCGTACTGTATCCTTCTCTTCAACCACAGATCTCTGTGCGATTGAAGAGATAGAATATTTAGTGATACTTACCATCCTCCTGAAGATCACAGTCCTTGGCAAGATGGCCAGACTCACCACAGCGGTAACAGATATCCGGGAGAGATGAAGACATGAACTGGAAGCCTGCTTGAAATGGGTAACAGGAGAAACAAGGTTTAAGGATTACGTTCAGAATATTCTTAAAGAGTTAATCGAGCACACTGCCAGCTGAATTGGCATGTTAGCTTCACTCTCAGATGCACCCGGCAACATTCTTATGCAGAAGTTAAGAACCAGCGAAATTTATTACCAATTTGTGTCCTAACTTCTCTTCTTCAGGCTAACAAAGCCAGTTTTGCACACTATACAGAACAGTCAGCTAGACATCTTACTACACAAATAATCAGTCACCTCTGCCACGGCTTCTCATCCCACGACCACGGCCAATTCCAGTAGGGCACTCCCGAGCCCAGTGGCCAGTACGTCCACACTTGAAGCATTCGTTGCTGCTCATGGCTGCAGATTACTTGCCTGAGGAAGAAAGACATTTTTAGAACACCTTCCTCATTCCCGACCAAAGGCTACATTGAAATAAGAGATTTAGAGGTTTCCCACCTTCCTGGCAAAGGTAATAAAAAATCAAGCAGGACTTCTGGCTAACTCAATACTTTCTTGTACAACATCTGATCATTACTATTAAAACCACTTTAGAGAACAGAAGTTTGTCTCTGCTTTGCTTTTAGTAAGGCAGCTTGGAACAGCCAAAGAAACAGTGCACTATATAACTTTTCCTCTAAGTAGGTTTTGTAGCTGGTCTTCACTTCAAAAACTTATAAAACACTTAAGAGTGGGGAAAAAGCAGGAGACCCCTTTAACTATTGTGCTACCAGCCTTACTGTTGTTCTCTTTCAGTAACGCACCTTCTTCCTTATTCCTGAGAGTTAAAACTCAAAAGCCAGCTACTTATCTCTACAAGTTATTTCTTCCTGATAGTTGTTAAGACTTCTCTTGAAGTGGCTGGCTAGCAGCTTTTTTTCATTCTAGCAGCTAATTCTAAGAATCAGCACTATTAGACCTAAAGCCTTAAAAAGCATGTTAGCTTGACATTTGAAGACTTAAGATCTTTTATGACTTACACAGCAGTTGAAGTCTGAGAAACAAGAATTACAACTTCAATATATTAACCTATGGCTCAGGATGCATACTTCACTCCCAGGTTTACATGAAAGCAAATGTTTAAGACATTTAGCTTCCCTAAAAGACACCAGACACTTGCCAGATATCTAGAAGGCTAACTTGGAAAGCATCCTTAGAATGCTCGGGAAACATCAGCTAGGCATGCCTGTCCGAGACAGCATAAACGACTTCTTTTGCCCATATTGGGGAATGGAGGTATGCATTTCATTGAGCAGAAACTCAGTCTGCCACGGGCCGCTGAAGCAGTGGTTAGGATGGGGCAGGTTAAACAGATTGCGGTCACAGTACCGTAACTCCCCTAAGCTGTAAAACAGTTACGCAAGACTTCTAGAACTAGAAAGAAAAAAACACCACACAAGGAAGTTACACATTTAAATTGGAGTATTTTGTGAAGCGTGCTTCAAGTCAAGTTTGAAGTACACTACTCTAAAAATATGCCTGTCAAGCTTCATTTTGATGAAGTCTTTATAAGTTTAAATACTTCACATGATATCCCCCAATTCATTATTCTTAACCCAACAGAAGCAGAATCATTATCTGGTATGTGTGGCAGTTTATCTGATCCCCCATCAAG